AAGCCACACTTGAGTCCGCTTTGCTTCACACTTCCATTTACATCCATCGACAAATCCATTCAAATCTGACCTCTTGCCTCACTTCACCACTCCAGCCCATGGTGGGACTTGCCAGATACTGCAATCATCTCCAAAACAAACTTCCTGCTTCCTCTCTGGCCTCCCCTGCAATTGATGCTCCACACATAGCTTTCAGACCAATGTTCCCCGCTTTCCATCCTACTCTGAGCTGAAAGCCAAAACTTGCTCTACAGTCTGCAGCACTTGATATGCTCTGCCTGACCTCAGCTCCTACCACCTCTCACTTCAGCCTCATTCAAACCCACTCCTGCCTGTTGGGCCTACTCCTACCATTGCTTGGAATACTCTTTCCTTCCTGAGACTTATGTAATGGTTTTTTCCTCCTTCACTTCTTTAGGTCTTCATTTGAGTGTAACACTTTAAATAGAGTTCTCTGTTGGCAACCTATTAAATAGCACTTATATACAATACAGCTTATGAAACAGTCTCACTACTCTGAAACACTTAAGCCTACTTTAATTTTTCTTCAAAGCAATTAATCATTACCCTACTTATATTACCTTATATTTTGAGAGACAGCAATGTTCACTGTCATACCTAACACAGTTTTAAATACAAAGCAATTTGCTCTATATTTTTTAATATGTGTTAAGAATGATTGAGAAAGGCATTATTCATTATATATATACTATACTAATAAAAATAATGATTAGCCATGCTACTTCCAGGGAAAAAATTTAAATGAAATACCTGTAAAACTAAACATATATACTTCATCTATAGTTTACTAAAAAGAACTGCCTCATCTTTGCTCATTAATTGCCATCTAGACAAAGTGCCACTTATTTAAACCTAGAAGAGAAAAATCTCCACCTACACTCACAACCAAAAGAAAAAGTTGGCTTTAACTAAAATATCAGTGGGCCCTTCTGGTTGACTCCAGGGTCCTAACAGTTGGTCTGGACCCATGCCTAGGCCTGTAGTTTTTATTGCCTGGGTCTCTGATTTCTGGCAGCTTTAGCCAATGACTAGGGATTGGGTAGTTAGCCTGTTGCTTGTAGGAAACAATATGTGACTTGTAAATGTAGCTAAAATTCTCTAGGTGGTTATTGAATAATTTGGGAGCGTCATAAATTAAGAGATTGTATTTCTCTTTGATTCACCACTCGAAGCGCACCAGCATCGGTGAAAGGCAGTTGGGCATCAAAGGTGATTTATTAGCAAACTGGAGGAGCTTGGCATGTAGGCCTGTGTAGAGAACTTGCCTGCATGTGTGAGGCCATGGAGAAAAAAAATTGGAGAGGAAAGCCAAGCACAAGACTTTAAAGAGAGTGTAAGGTCAGCAAAAGAACAGGACAAAGAGAACAATCAGCACACTGAATGGACAATAAATTATACACGTAATAGAAAGCAATAAATCATATGAAATACAATTTGAAAAGATTTTCAGGGAGACCCACAAATTCATGGTCATTACCACGTGTGGGCCATCATTGGAAGAAACATTTTGTCATTTTTTAAAAACAGCATCAGTTGCAAACACCAAAAATAATCACCAAGCAATTCTCATTTTCATCATCTCTCTTGTCCAGAATGTTTTTCCAAGAGCTTGTCTCTTATCTCACTAAGAAATCCTTCAGTGTTAAGAATGTCTACAAACATCTATGCACTGTTCCTCCTTTCTTCTCACAAGTTGTAGCTGAGGCTCTGCTCCCCCTCTCCTGGGCCAGCACTTCACCTGTTGAAAGAGGGTCCCACTCACAATTTGTTCTCCACCTTTTTAAAACTCATGCCAAAAATCTTCCCTATTTCCTCTTGATATCTGCTATCTCCGTGCTCCAATACAAAGTAAATTTATAGCCTCATTTACAGAAGTAAGGGAATGGGGATCAAATATCTTGTCTCTTTTTAAATAATCTAACACTGGTCTTAAAATTTCCGCACTTACTTGTCGTACATAATTGCTTGTTTTTGTCTCTGCCTACAAAATTTTTTTTTTTCAAATAATTGGTAGCTTTGTAAGAAGCCTGGCCTGTGACGTTTTTTTTGTTGTTGTTGTTTTACAATTACTGCAATGTAGCATTTATTCTTTCCTGGAGAATTTGACCACTTGTTTATTTGATGAGCAATATTTCTTTTAAAGGCTTTATAGTAAAAAGAAAAGATATATAAGAATACGATGGAGATTTTTCCAAGATGGCACGCTAGAGGGAGGAAAGCAGAAAGTGTGACCTCCTAAATAAAATCTTGGAGAGAATGCTGGAGATACACCTTACAGGAAAAACCACTGAGAAGAGGCAAAACTTTTGACCCGCACAACCTCCAGCTGAAGCGTGGCATTCCATCCACTTAACCGGAGAAACCAGGAGGACTACACCACACTACAAAAGATTCTCCAAGGGAATTCTTCACACAAAAAGTGAAATTCCAACATAACCAGAAAGGGCAGGCGCACCAAATCAACAGGAAAAGAAAAAGCAAGAAAGTAGAGAGTAACCTCAACTTAGGTACACACATCAAACCTTTCAAACAATAAGACAACTAATGCAGGAATCACCAGCATACATAGCAGCACTAACATTAAAGGAACTTATTCCCCATCAAAAGGCACTGGTTTTGATGAAATTGAGATTAAAAAGGCAGATTCAACAATTTGTTGCTTAGGAGACCAACCTCACTGGACAGAAATAGCATAGGCTTAGGATGAAAGGCTGGAAGAAGATTTAAACAAGCCAATGGCCTCCTTAACTGTTCCATGAAAATAAGAAAGGGAAGGAAAACTGCCAAACACATTTTATGAAGCCAGTATTACACTTATCCAAAACCAGGCAAAGACACCTCCAAAAAGGAGAACTATAGGCCAATCTCCTTAATGAACATTGATGCAAAAATCCTCAACAAAATAATGGCAAACCGAATTCAACAACATCAAAAAGATTATTCACCAGACCAAGTAGGCTTCATCCAGGATGCAGGGGTGGTTCAACATACGAAAATCAATAAACGTAATAAACCATTAACAGAAGCAAAGACAAAAACCACTTGATCATCTCAATAGATGCAGAAAAAGCCTTTGATAAGATCCAACACCATTTCATGATAAAAGTCTAAGAATAGAAGGAAAGTACCTCAATTATAAAAGCTATATATGACAAACCTACAGCCAGCATTATACTTAACGGAGAAAAACTGAAAATTCCCCTCTAAAATCAGGAACCAGACAAGGATGCCCACTATCTCCACTCCTATTCAACATAGTACTGGAATTCCTAGCCAGAGCAATTAGGCAAGAAGAAGGAATAAAAGGAATACAAATAGGTAAAGAAACTGTCAAAATATCCC